AGTGATGTGTTACAAAAAAATTTGCTTGTCATTACGTGATAAGCAATAGGAGACGATGATTGTTGCTTTCAGAAAATCTGGCCGACTTGTGTACACAAGGATGAGTCATCCAACCTGTCGACCCTCAATTACTCACAGATTGAACGCGGATTACACATATTTATAGCGTGCACAAGTAATCAAAGCGCAATAAAAAAAAAATCATCGATCAATTATGTTCAATGTGGAAAGATCTTTAATAAAAGAAATAAATTCCAATCTAGATTTCTGCGTTTAATCTATGAGCGCGTGGACCTGTGAAAAATGTTACTTGTGCAAGGCAACGCATCAATTTCATCATTTTCAGATTGTTGAACGAAACGCCCTTTTACTTCTAACGAGACGCAAAAGAACATTAACGAGTGAGGAAAAATATTAACGCGCGAACATTAAAACTTTATGTGTATTGAAATACGTGTAATACGTGTTACAAAATAATAAGAATCGACAGAATGACTACCTAATAACTAACGCTCGAGTAAAACAGTATTAAGGTGTGAACATTAAAAAAAAACTGATATGCATGAAAATATTAACAACGCGAATTACCATAAGAATCGATATTATCTTGCCGGCATTTCTGAATAAATTATCCTCTCATTTTTACCGGGACACAAAAGAATACTAATCATCGAGTAAATAAATATTGTAACACGAACTTTACTGACTGATATGCATTGAAATATTCACAACACGAATTACCATAGTGGTAAATAATATATCATCGCTATTTGTCTATTTGAATAACTTACTTTTGAGGAGACAAACATAAGCATTAATTTTCGAATGAAAAAATACTAACGTGCGAATATAAAAATTAATATGCATCAAAATACTAACAATACAGATTACCTAAACAATTGATACTATATCGATAGCATTAATAACGTAGTATTCTCAAAATAACTTAACAGACTTGCGAATTTTACATAAGCGATACAAATCTCTATAGTATTTTTGAGAATAATATGTTTTCGATTAAGAATAAAAAAAAAACATGTTTCCTCCTTCGAGACGCGATACGCAGGTTATTTTTACGAGACGATGTGACGATAATAACTACAGAGTGACTTCAATATTGAACGCTGCCATCGATATTCTTATGAAACTATTTATTCGAAATGGAAAGATTACAATTTAACATCCGGTCCGCGCTTGTGTGGCAAGCGCTCGATAAACAGATCACGGAATTATCAATCTAATCTCGTAACCCATCATCTAGGAATTAAGAATTATGAATGAATTATGAATTAACGCATTCCACCGGGTACACCGTATGAAAACGTGTCACGTGTTACATAAAATACTTAAGAATTTCATTGAAACGCCGCCGACGTTAATAACCGCTGGTAAACATAGCCACACTTAATATAGAATAGTTGCATAATGATCATAATCATGCGATGATCGAAAAGGATGGAACAAACTAATTCGATTGTAATTCAAAATACAATTTAACCCCTTGTCCTACAGTATCGTGTCAGACTGGTAGCAAATATTTTAAACAAAGATTTCAGAATTTTGGAATTCAACGATTTTCGAATTTAACAAATCAAATGTTACTTAATCCTTTTGAGTCTAAATGAAATATAATTTTTTTAAACATTTCTCATATAATTTTTTTGTTGCTGATTAAAATGTTTTGCAGTAATTCTATGCAACATAGAATGAGAGTAGAATTACTTTCCTTTTCTAATGGATTATGACGACAAAATAGTTCTGTCGAGCGCAGTTGTGGAAGAAATTATAAAATAAGGGATTAACAAATAAATTTGATTCGTGTTACTACGAACTATGGGTCATTTTTTATACGTAAACGATTTGTGCTTTCAATCCTGAAAAATGAGATACTTGATTTTGACGCATATCAGTATTCTATTCTTTTTTTAATCTAATATTTAAGTTTAAGTACATACGAAGTAAAGGAAAACATTATTCCAGATACTCTACCATAATATTAATAAATTTAAATTAAAGAATAGTGGGTTTGATTATGCAATTTCTATTTAAATACAATTGTTTGTAAAAGATTTTCAAATATTATAATTAACTTCTCGCTTTGCGAAAATTACCCTAAGTTATCAGTTAATCTTATTAGATTTAATGATGCATCTTGTATTTGCAAATATATATCGGTAAATAAATATACAATTGAACAATTTAATGGTAAAAGTTTCTTTAAAGTTAAAATAATATTTCAAAAAGACGCTGCTAATTTATGTGTTTGGGTTAATTGAATCATGTTCCATTAACTCCTAACATTATGATTTCTTTCAACGTTACTCTCTTCACCTCATCTTTAATAATTCATTAGTAAGAAAAATATAATTCTATGTTTATTATGTAAATATTATATACAATTATATACTAATATTATATAAAATGTATAATTTCGTCGAAAAAGAAAGAGAACATTAAAATTTAGCAATTTCTTAATTTTACTGTCATACTTCATAGCAACTTTATTAAAATTCATTACATACACTGACAACCAGTTGTTTAAGAATATATTACAATTCCGTAAATAAACTGCATTAACATTTCATACCTTTTTTTGAACACGTTGAAGTCGTAAACAGAATTATATATGCGATACGTTATGCAAACGTTCGCTGTCATAAATTATTTTGTAAAAATCAATGTCAGAAAAATATTTATACCATCAAATTAGAAACGAACTAGAAATATTACGAATAAGTTTGTCTTTCTTTATACAATCAACATTAAAAACACGTACGCGGATAGTGGTATTTATTATAGAAACTAGGATACTGTAATTAATTACGTTTACAAAAATACAAATATTACAGTTATATAGAGAAGTTACAAAGTACATAACTGGCAAAACCAATCGGAATTAGGAACGAGACTATAAAGAGCAGCAGGCACGGTTCTACGGTTGATTTTAAAATTTCGAGAAGAAAATGAATCGAGGAAGTGTTACGCCACTACAAGATGGCCGAACACTTTTCAAAATAACTATATCGATTATTATAACATCAACACGATATATTTACTCCCTGATTTTTATATGAACATACATTTACACCTTTTCCTATAAAGAATGAAAACCTTAAAAATTGTTTCATATCACTAGCAAAAGTAATTTTACGATTTTCGTAAAATTCATTGTCATCGAAACTACAAAAAACTTCCCGCGAAAGAAAAATGGCCGATAATTCCTGGCCACGGATAAGATACTAATTGCTGAAAGGCCACTGCAGGTTCTTGACCGCATTGTATGTATCATGTGAAAGTATGAGAAACGTAAACGTCGCCGATTTCGGATAGCACCGAGAAATTATCGAGTAAGCACGTTATTATTTTTCATCAGGGTTCAGCACTGCCGTGGCTCGTTAAGCTTAAACCGTGAGTTGTATTAACCCGTGAAAGTTTGACACGAATAAGCGCGAATAATTTCGTTACGGATTTAAACGTCCTGTCGTGTCTAACGGGTGCTCGTACATTCACGATTCGATTGACTCTCACCGGTTCATCGGCAAATATGTAAGAATTATTTACCCATTGTGTACATAACTTCTGTATGCACGCGTGACTCATCGGGAGAGTCACTAACATAAAATTAATAATAAAAACTTTGTGGTTACAAACGTGACTTAACAAGTACCAATGACAACGAAAAAATAAATAACTGCACCTAAAAACACTTGTACAGGTTAAACATTTTATTGTCCATGGTACATGCTATAAATTTATGGACACCCAGTATATACATATATATGTATATATAGTAATAGAGTGAACAGAGCAAGACGTAATATTCGACAATTTGAGCGACGACTAATACACCACACGCGTTTACTGTGCATGAGAATACAAGTTTGATAATTGAACCGGTTTTGGGGAATTTGATCGTTGCACGGGGTTTCGAATAAATACACGTTCGCATGTAACCGACGCTTGTTTACATCAAAGCGTGGGTAATACATATGTATGTATACATATAAATATACATATATATATGGATACATATACACACACGGATGGTCGTTCTGTTTTGTTTTCATTTACAATGTTAATGAACGATTACGCGGATTTTATTAATCGTGTGTGTCGGTCAATTGATTCACTTCGTACGCGCACGCCACGTAGAAAAGGTTAGGTTAGTTCGGTTGCACGTTATATCGGACTCATAGTAAACGGGATCGAATTTACATAAAGTAAGAAAGGTTTATAACAGAAACGATGATCCGGAGATCGATAGGCTTGGAAACCCGGCATCAAAAAGATAGTTATTGTTGGAGATTGACGCACGCGATGTCAGCGTTGTTTCCATTGTTAACAGGCTGGCCGGGTTTATGCAGGGCACTTTCGGCGAAATTAAGCACCATATAGATTCGGGCTAGCTTATTTCGAGGGACAACGAATAATTAGAGGCGACGACTATGCGTCCGTCGGGCGTCGTTAAATAAAACCGGTGTATATAAATACGAAATTGCGGCTAACTACGGTCACGAGTTAGCTTAAACGAAAACAAATAGAAGCCGTAGTAAACGTGTTAATCTGAAAGCATCGCGCGATGCTATAACCTTGACGAGATACTAGCGATCCCACTCGTCGGGAACGAATAACGAACAAAACCTCTTAGCAACATCGTATGATTTTTATGAATGGACTTCATCCTGTGTGGTAGTAAATGTGCTCATTGACTCACGAGCGGTTACGAATCGTAATTGTCGCGAATCGATAGACCTTAAAACATTCACGCACGTGACAACCAATGGCAAAACATTGATCCGGTGAAATGTAATCGACCCTATCAATTTATCCAACGCGGTACATGTAATATTTCCGAGTGGAATCAACGACAATAGCACCTGGGACGGTCGGCCATTTTCGCTGCTTTGTTTACGTAGCCGTATATCGAGCCGCGACGCACATAAATACGATGAAGTTCTCGATGTTCGGCGTGAAAAAGATGCGGAAAACCATTTTCATACCTCGAATTGCCAGTGTGCTGCCTGCAGCAACTGTTTCGCTTGCTCTCTGGCACAACCTGCAGCCAACACGAACTGATTGATCATCACTTGCTCGCGAAGGGCGTCCATTTTTTCGTCTCGTTTTTCCGAGGAAAAGGGAAAATACCGGAAGAAACGGGACACGCGCGAGACACGAGCACGGCACAGCCTTTCGTGTCGCCGAGCTTTTACTCTGCCTCAACTTTTAGTTTAGACGCGAGCGCGGCTAACGAGCGGCGACCAGCCTCTTGTTTTCAAAACTAAACTCATCGCAGACGGCTGACGAGCACCGCGGGTTGCGGAACGTAAGAGGCGAGGACAGTGTGACGTCACTATCAGCTATTCACGAGTGAATGTACTGCCTCCCCTGTGTTTGGGGACCTTCTCTTCGCCGTGCGCCCTCCCTGTTTCGATTGTTTATTTTCGAACACAATAAACAATGCAAAATTTTACAGATCAATGAACGATGTGATCATTTAATTGTACGTCGTTGTTGTTTCTCGAATATTGTTAGGCATATGATTCGAACAAGTCACTCGCTTGTGGATTAGACTCGTTCGAGAGGTATTTTCACACAGAAATAGATAACATGATTTCGTATTTCGTTTGCTGGGAATACCTATTAGGTCACCCACCTCTGTTCGAGAAACATCGTTTTTGTAATGTATTAGAGGCTATGTTGGAAGTCTACAAGTTTGCAAGCCTGCTCGTGTAATCCTGTTTTGCGATAATGCAATTCCTATATTGCCGATTGTAGTTAAAAACCAATAACATGAAAAATGTTGAAAATTTGTAGGTACAGATAAAGAATACACTGTGCTCTTCTGCATTTTAAGTCACGAACAGTGATGTTAAAATATCGAAATGAATTATAAAAATAATAAGAGTATAATTCGAATCTAATTTGCGTTAACAGTTCGATTATATAAGCTGCCATATATGATATGTGTAAATTTAATTATACACATATAATATATACGTAGGTGTTTTAAACAAACATTGCCGAATTGAAAATTAATTTTAATAATATTTTTCGAATGTTTCAAGTAGAGATTGTGTACATGTATAATTTTATATGATGCATGTTCTGACTGTTATACAAAGAGGAATTTAAAATATACATATGAAATATCAGTTACAATAATTAATAATTTATTACCATTTTAAATAGACTTTTTACACACTTATAATTTTTTTAAGGTAAAATTAAATATAGTAGAAATATTTTTAACATCAATTTTTTATTATTAGATCTATAAGACATTAATACTTTATCATAGAATAGTTTTTTATCACAGAATTATATTAATGGTCTCTTGTATGCCCATAACTTATCATGATCGTAAATAGTGTGAATTTTCTCATACATATACTTAAAAAAATATAGAAGATTGTCATATTGACCCCTGTATCTCTGATCTGTCTCAACTAACTCGTCTTTAATTGATTTTGTAACAGAATTCTCCAAGTCAGCATATCCATCTATGACACCAAATGCGCATGTATGCAATTCTACTAAGAATTGATGAATTGCTTCAATTGTAGCTAAATACCACCTTGGACTCTTTTTTTGATGACGCCAAAATTGTGATATTCGTGACTTTAATATGACACATTGTAAATCTGTCAACAAATGTTGTTTTAAATTTTTTGTTTCTATTGGAATCTTTTGATGTAGCAATATTATTGTTATATACATGATAATAATATTCTATGTTTTTATATTTACCTCTCAGTCTTTGGTCTTTATAAATGGCTTTTGTTTGATGCCACGTACTATCAATAAAGACAGCTCTCTTTATAGGGAATTCTTTCTCTATTCTGTTTATAATTATTTTGTCGCCTTGTTCAATCTTTTTTTCAAAAAGGGATTCAATGGTTTTGCCAGTTTGGCTAGGAAAAATTAAGACAGTCTAAGGGATGATATTATTCAGACTAATTTATAAAACTTGAAACTGCTATATGATTCAAAGAAAATATTTTTCAGCATACCTCTTCTTTATTTATTATTTCTGGAAAATCTGGATATGTAAAGATTTTGACATCTTCTGGTGCAAGTACAGCTGCATGAATTGCAGTGCTTTTCCCATCGATTTCACGGGCATGCTTAACAATATCAATCTTAATTGGTAACTGAAAATGCACAAACTTATAATCTTCTGTCACATAATAAATATACGAAATTAATACAATACCTTTACTTTCGGAAAATACTTTTCATTGATAACTGGCAAGTAACACGAATAACAAAAAAACTTTCGTGATTTGTAACAACGTTCACATATTTCTCTGCCTTCTATTGAATCTAAAATTTGTGCATCATTAATTTTTAAATGACGAAATGGTGCTTTATCAATAATATTCTGTTCTTTCTCCAACTTCGAAAGTTCTTTAGTGTAATCGTTTATTATTATATTTGCCATCTCTTAAAATGCATAGAAATTTCGAAAAATCAATAATATTATCTAACAATGCTTTGCATACTATCAAGATAATATGAACAGCTGATAGAATATTTCTGTCTTGCACATTATGAATTAAAAAAAACAATTCCTGATGTTTACTATATGATCCATCTATTGAAGAAAATACGTACTATTTTAAATCATAGAGTTACCATCTAGATTTAGACCACAGACTTCAGATACGGATAGACATTGTATGCAATATAATTTTCTGTTAATTGTTCTGAAATACCAACACTGCCGAATGTACCCTAACAAATTCATGTTGCAATTTTATTTAGTTCGGTAATTGGCCGTCTTATCTGAATGTTGGTATTTCACCAAAAATGCACAAAATTATATTGCATTTTAACATCTATATAAAAAAATATATTTGACAACAATTAGGGCTGTATTTCTGACAAATTTTGCACACAGTTTCCTTTTAAATAGAAATAATGTTTTGCGAGATAAATTTGTCGCAATGAAATGATTAAAATGCAAAATTTTGGAAAAAAGTGATTACTCATTTTAGTGTCACTCCTTGCAATTTCTAAAACTTTTCTAATTTGTCCTGTTCTGGTTTGTCTGACGTTCTACGAATATTTTCAAATGTTTACAAGAAGAATTTTCGTCAATTTTAAAGTTAAGACAAAATTTTGTAGAAAAACGTTTTTACCACTGTAATCTTATTTTCTGCGCTATCATTATAAGATACGACAAAAACACTGCTTTACGATGCGTACCCTTAAGTTTGTAGATACTTTGAGTTTGTTTCACGTATTATCGTCGGATGGAGCCACCATTCACTTTTTTTAATTCGACAACAAATGGATACAGTGTGTGCATATAAATAATGCATATATTTGTGCAAAATTGATATTCGTATATATTAAAGTGTTTATATAAATTGTATAATTAATATGCAGCGTTTGAATATATTCTATAAGAGAGTCTGCATATTTTATACTCTCTACTCTCATTACCCATCTAGATTCTGGGGTTTCCTGAATTTCCTAAGTCGGTAAGACAGCCTAACTTATCTTATGAAATTTCACTTATACACTGTTGATGACGTTTAGATAACAACAGTAGATGCACCGTTTATAAAATAGTTAAAAAAATAGTTTAAGAAATGGCAAAACTGATAATGAAATAATATCATTTATCATAGAACGATGTTACAGATGTAAAATGTATAAATTACTTTATCCAGTCAATTTATCCATATCTTCAAGTATTCCATCATACACACATAAATTCAAATGTAACAATTGTTAAAAGAATACAACCATATTACGTATACAAATCACAATATAAATGCTTTTCATTTATATTTCATTTAATTTATCCACATTTTGTATTCATTCATATATATTTTTTTTAATCATTTTTAGTACTAAAAATATCTTAAAATAACAAAAAATAAAATAAATAAAATAACACGATAATGAACTAATAAAACCAGAACGTGTATAAATTCTGATTTTATGAGAATAACTATAACTGCAGAGAATTTTCGAGCACATATGCCACTTATTTGAATCATAATTACGTTTCCCAAAGTAGGAGTAATTTCCCATACACGCTTACGTCAGACGTAGAACAGACTGTGCTCTGAAATAATAGACGGCATAAGAGAGTTTATTATGGCGAAACTTCGCAGAAAACCTGGGTAGTGTACAATACCTAGGCATGGGCATCAGCTGTCTGGAAAACCAAGACTTCCTCTAGGGTAGCGGGTGGTAGAAAATTAAGGAACAATGGATAATTAAATCGGCGTGTAACGAATACGCAGACTGAAATTAATTACATGTCCTAATAATAATGACGTTGGTATCATTATCCATGGGCAACAACTAAAATTAAGTAATTGATTTACGTATGAATTATATTTCCATTGCATTGTGTACTCAATTTAACAATTTGTTCTAGAAACTCGACAATTAATCATTAAAATGATTATTCTGAAAATTAATTTCAGATTCATAGCATAATGAATCTCTGGTAACTAAATTGTATGCATAACGCGTGATTATATTGGATCGTGGCACAAATGACATAAACAGATTCGGTTATTTACAATACTGCGTTATTCAGTAATTTTTTTATTTATCGTAATACAAAAGTTAAGTTAACAAAACACAGATTTCTATTCGAATAATTGTATGTAAAATCTCTAATACCATTTAATAATTATCTATTACTAATTAAGTCCTTACAAATAGAATCTGTTTGTACACGTAACCAAATTTGGTTATATCAAAATCCAGTAATTCCTGGTTTATTTTAAATATAACTGTAAATAATCTTGATATGATTATGTACTGAATTTGATGAATTTTTGAAAGAATATTTTTATTTTAAATTGAAAATAACCATTTGGCTATATAAATACTCCATTTTTTATTGTATAGATGAAAAATATTCAAATCTTTACAGCAAAGTGTTAAAAATAGTAGATTAAATATAAATATTTTTATATGTATTATTTAACAAGTTTATATATTGGTTGCGAAATTCTAAATCTATTTTTACATATAAAATGAATATCTGATGTGTTGTGCACTAAAAAATCAAATTGTTAGACTAATACAAAATAATGATACACGAAAATATTCCATATTGTCGAGATTATCGACCATCTGTCAAGAAGATTCTATGTACAGGTCTTTCGCTATTGGTCAGTCCTAGATCTCGTTAGTTGACAATACACATGTCCGCCGGGAAATCTGTGGAAAGAAACCAAACGTACAAAATAGACACCGAGACACGTTCCCAGAATACCGAGTTTTGTTTTTCGATCGACATTTTATCTCATCGGTTGCATTTTGATGTTCTTTGCGAATATTTTAGAATTTTATTAAGGAATTGAATAATCCGATAAGCATTCTATGTTACTCACAACTAGATTGTTAATCAAATTTACCAACAGAATTTTTATATATATTACCAATATTCAAAACTTAAATTTATTAAAATGTACAATTTGATGACTTGGTGATTCACAGAAAACAGTTAATCGTTTTAATTGATTATCGCACCGACCACTTGAATAAAAGAAACTGTAATATGTATAATACTTATCGATATTCCGCTAGACATTAATTCATCTTCCAACTGTACGTTATCGATATTCAGCTACAGGTTTTTAAATGATGTAGGGCTACATTGCTGATCTCGAATGTGTTTACATTGTTGATCGGAAATTTTACGCAGAAGCTATACCATGTCACCGGTTATTATTCCGTAATTAAATATGAAAGTGAAACAATCTAAATAAACTTCGATATGCTTTATTTATACATAATGAATTGAAATGAAACTTAAAACACATCTTTTACATAACTTTGAATATTTTATTTTTGTAATATTCTACATTGCTTTGCGTTTCAAAAATAAAAATAGCTGATGCAAGTGTAAAGACGGGTTAACTCGTGACCGGTCAACAATATGTTAGGTTACTTGTTTTCTGAGAAATAGTAGTGTTCTATATAAGATGCTGTCGCTTGTTAGAGTTGCGTTACTGCATCTTTAGACATTAGCACAGTTATCACAACGGGAACTCGATGGATTACGAGGTTGTGGATCAGGTCTAGGTCGTTTCTGCGATCGGCAAACCCGCATCGATGGATCTTCGTTCGTGCGACGATAACAGGAACGGGTTCTAAGCCGGACGTATTTGTCGACGTTCACGGTCGTCGGTTTTGTTCAAATTTTTATGGGAAAACGGGGCGAGATTTCCGGAAAACGCGGAATTTCGAGAGATCGGGTTGCGGAAAAGTAGATTGCAGATCGAACGTGGAGACCTTTAGTTTCCAGAAACTAAAATATGTTTTCATTCGGGTATTTTATGAAGACTTTTACAATCGAATTACTAATAAAAGAAGATATACGTTTTGATAAATAAATTCTATTGTAAATAGTTATTAAGTAATTAAAAATAACGTTTTAATGAGTCAACAGATTAGAAGAAAAAATGTAAGGTGTGATAAATCAAAAGAATGAATGAAGAATATAGAAGAAAGTAATTTGGAAGTAAATAATTAGATTACTTTAATGAAGGGGATCTTAATACACCCTTAAACATGATAGGAGTTTGGTAAGTCTGTTCTTCTAAGTAAGATTTTGGAAAATTGATTACAACCAGTGGAAAATTAATTAAGAAATTATTGGAAAAGTGTTTTAGATCTTTTGCCGAAAATATTTAAAACAATTGAATGGCTGAAGTTCAATGAAAATCTCTAAATTAATTTTAAATGTGCATGTTCCAATAAGTTTTTGTAATCATTGGGATCAATAAATATTTAACAGAATGTAGTCGAGGGTATATTAAATAGATAATGTACACAGTTGTATTTATACATTATCTATCCAGTAGTTTACAGAGTTGTGTTTATTCATTATGTATCTAATTAATATTACGCAATTACTCATATTAACTATTACTAATAGTAATAATACTGTGCTCATCCATCATGGCAACGATTCAAAAACCGTAATATTCTGGCAATCATTATCCTACCGTACAGATATGATATCGAAATTTTAAATACAATATTAAACTAAATTTCAAATAAAATATTAAACTAGAATAAAAGTATCATAACATCTTTTTATAACGTTATGAATCGTCAAGAATTTTTTTCATACCTGTAATTTAAGAAGCAAATAGGTCTTTTTTTTAAAAATATCATAGCTTTCCAAAATTAATGTTAAGTAACATAAATACGTTCTAATGTATTCAACATGTTTTGTAATATTATATATATTTTGTATTATGTATTATATTTACATATTATATTATGTTTTGTATTATTATTGTATTATATTTTGTAAAATTAATTTCATGAACCTGTGAAATAAGAGTACTATACTGAAACTGATTAGAAACAGCTCTTTATCTATTACAGTTTTACGCACAATTGCAATGTACCATAATTAACTTCAAAATTTAATTTAGAATGAGAACATGTGGAAACTTGCCCTAAAGTTTACATATTTATGCTACTAATTAATACTTTTATTTTTATTACGAACGAATTAAGTAATAAAAGGAAAGTTCGACCACCGTTCCTATAGACTATAGACACACGATCGCAATACCAAGTTTGCGCGACATTGACTTCCACGGTTCTGCCGGGGTGTCATT